ATCACTGGTGTGGGGGGTGAAACACTAACTGTACACCACACTCCCTGCCCTTTTCAAATATTAATTGATGAGTAACCATTTATGGAGCCTCATAAAGTATTAACTCTTTAAGTGCGGAAGATCTCAGCTTACCAGCATAGCACAAATCCTACATGATTTAAATCCCACGCAATCCTATTTAAATCCAAAGAGTTTCAAGCTGTTTATGTCAGTTCAGTATCTAGTATTAACACCTGATTTTGAAACCTCATGTAAACAATATTGCTCTATTGGACTAGCAGAACAGGGGAAAGTAAGTTCAATCTTCTTGACCAATGTGGGGATATACGTAAATGAAGTCTACATCTTGAACTTCAAAGTTTAATGCTTTTCTTGGCTTGCTACTTTTCCTTAACTTCCATTTCATGTCCTACATATCAGGTTAGCTAGTGTTTGAACAATTGTGCTACATCTCCTGAATTGCTATACCTGAATTTGAATATAATGGTCTGCATTTCCCTGAATACTGGCCACTGGATAGTCAGTGTATGGAAGTATCAGACTGAGACAGACTCATTTATTTTGTGAAATACATAGTCCAGATGCCATATTTATTTGGAGGTTTAGCTTTTTTTTTTCTCTTCATTTTTCAGCTATTCAGCTTACCTAACTGATCCAAGTGTAAGCAATTTGTTAGGTCCATGAAACTGGTTCAAAGGAAAATTTGGAAGGTATCACGCCAAAGATGCGTGACTGCAGTACATCACAATTACAGCTGGACTTTATAAAAAGTAGATGGAAATGGGCAAAGCTGTGAAAAAAACCTTTGGTCTTCACAGATATCCACTGATATCTACAAATAAGTAACTTTTGCATGACAGATTGCCTGCAATGGCAGGGGCAGGGACATACCCCTTCCAAGACATATGGCAGAGCCTGGAAGATGTTTAACATACTTGAAATGAAACACTAATAGCTTGAAGATCAGCAGTGCTGACCAGCCCTGCTGGTACTAGCTCAAATATCACAGATGCTCAGCGCACCCCCCCAGACTTAAAAATGGTAAGGGAATTTTCTAAGATATACCCAATTGTCTATGAATACTCCCAGCCATTATTCACAATACAGCAATAATGACTTGACTCACACCTAAAGAAATCAGCAGATGGGCTCTTTCCTCTTCATATAGAAATGTCAGTTAAATCTAAGAAGGATAAAAGTTAACAGACTTACATGCCAACTATACCAAAACATAAAGAAATATTGCCAGGTGTAGCAATCTTTTCTTTAGCCACATATTCCTTCAAATTTTAGGTTTTTTTACTAAATTCCAAGGTATCTTTACATAAGAGACATCAGAAATATGATCTTTGATTGCTGGCACTAGATTTCTGCTTATATTGCTAAGTTAGTGATTGTACGAGTGTGCAGTGTGTCCTTAATTGCCACCACCAGGAGGAAATTTTCCCTTAGGGTTCATTAGCTAATGACTTCCTCCCTTGCTGAGCTGTAAATCTACAAAAGTCTTTGGCAAACTGGTAATTTACCTTCTTGGAAGCCAGATGTGAAGGACCCAAACAGGTGGGAGCCATAACTACAAGCATATGAATGTAATAAAATTAGCAATTACATGTATTTGTATGGTACCCTCATAAAGTTATTCTCCTAGTAAACTTTAAGTATCCACTCATGTCATACTTAGGTGTGAAGTAAATGCTTTCAAGAGCCGATAAATTAATTTAATAAATGAATTATTAGGTTTGCAACATTCTTAACCATTCAAGCTCTAGGGTTTTTAGCACAGTAGCAGTATACATAGTGCTACAGGCTTACTTATAGCATGTTTGCTACCCTTCAGACACCTATTTGAAATTATATTAATGAGACAGTACACTGGAGGTATTATGTGTAAAGCACTTGAGGACACATAATCCAAAAGACACAGTCATGTTATATATACTATGCCATAAGACAAACATGTACTTGGAACACACAAATGGATTTGCACTTAGGGCCCAGGAAATGTGGTGAATTGAAAGTGTATTTCAATTTCCTCATTCTGAGCAGTAGTACTGAAGTCCAGGTGTTAAGGTGCTCATGATGAGGAGGACATGCATGAGTCTAGTCTTTCAGCTTTCAGCATCCGGGTGTGCTCACCTGTAAATATGCTCCTAATCCACAGGAAAAGGTGGTAGGAGGCTTTAGCATTTATTAAAGAGTGAGCTGCTTCCCTGTGACAGGGGTGTGTGACTAACACGAAAGTCATTCTTCCAAATTTCAGTGACTTGGTAGAAGCCTGAATTTCTGCCTCTCAAACTCACGCTAGTCGGGAATTGCAATATCTCCTCCTTGTGTCATCTTCTGAGTACCGGCTGGAGTGTGCTGGATAAAACTCTTTTTCTGGACTTTGGTACTACAAGGCACTATGTGCCACAGTTGTCTACGATTACACAGGACTGGAAGCAAGCTTGCTACATTAGTTCTACATTAGTTTTTCAAAACTGGTTTTCCACGGAAATGTTTTCAAATGCATTTTGAAGGCTGCTATTATCCATGTTGTTTCTGTTCCTATATTTGGAGTCGTAATAGTGTTTTGCCACAGAAACAAGTCATTGTGGGGTAATTAGATACTGCACACACTGTTCTGCAGTAACTGCAGCAGACACGAACTTGTTAACCTGTGCAACAGAGAGTACCTGAAGAAAGCTTAGCTCTCTGTGAACGACAGGATAGCTCCCTCAGCAGGGGACACTGCGGGATAAAAGCTTGCACACAGGCCCTTGGCACGCACTGACTTATGCCTTTCTCAGTCTTTAGCTTCCGAAGTACATCGATTCTCTTAGAAAAAAAAAACCCAAGCACAAACAACATCTTTATGAAATCACTGAGAATTTTTCCATCCTGCTGTTTACTAGCACCAAAAAAAGAAAGCTTATCTCATTACCCCTGTGATCAGAAGCTTCTTTTGACTCCATCTAGTGAAATGGCAATACAGTGTGCTTTCTGATGGTATTTGCTGTTCTAAAATGTATATACACAGATTATATATTTACGAAAACTATCTGTATGCAAGTAACGGCATCAACTGCACAGTCATAGCTTTTGCTTATTCCAGCATATCGCTTCAAATGCTCACAAGACTGGAAAAATGGATGATAATAATATTTGATTATAAACCAGTTTGTAGCCTATTTGTTCTCTGGCCAGATGTGCCTAATTCCTGCTGTCATCCTTGCAAGTGCATGGATGCACAAACAGCAGGAAGAAACCCTACACGCAGCACTTCACTTTCTCTCAGTTTAGGATTCATGCTAGTCAGTTTGTCCTGGGCCCAGTGCTTTGTGACCCAGTGGGAAAGTCCCTCAAGTACCATCATCATGAAGTGCCTGACCATGTCAGCGGCACCTCGAGCTCCATAACCACTTGCCCAGCACTGAGTGAGGACCATAGCGGGGAGCACAGAGCACACCAGGCCCTATGCACAGCCTAGCACACGTGAGGAGCTGGTGCTAGCAGTGCAGTGAAGGCTCCAGTTACTTTTGGGACCTCACTGGGGCGGGGGGGGGCTGAGCTTCCCACTGGCCAAATAACAATTCAGCAGGTCCAGAGAAGTGGTCTCAGGGGGGGATCTAGGTACCGATCAGCCGGATCCTTTTAGAGCCTGGGGTTAAACCAATAACCTGTTTACTTTTCATTTCCCATTAAACAGGAAGATTGCAGCAGTGTCCCAGTAGTGCTGAATGTGTACAGTGAATAGTGTATGCTATTGCTGCTGGGAGAGCTCTTTTCTTTTAAAGAGGCTGTTTTACATAGGGAATACCTTAGCTGTCCTCCTTGGAGTATAGCATCTAATAAAAAAAAAATTAAAAAATCCCAAAGCCCACGTCAGAACTCTACCCACGCAGACAGATAATTTCGACTCACTCTCCAGAAACCTAGCTATAACTGTGGAATAACGTAGCAGTCTTCCCACGTTAGACCCAGGCAGCCACTGCCTTTAAACTTGGGCCAGCACAAACCTTCCCTGTCAAGTAGCTGTTTTGATCATACAAAACACCTTCTAAGGCTCTACCCAGCTGTAAGCTCCTAGTGATGAGGACCTCCCTATTTTCACATGTTTACACAGCACATAGCATCACTATGAAGTTCACAGGAAGATCTGTCAGGTGCTATCATGATATCAATCATAAGTAAGTAATAGAGGATCAGTAAAAGCACATTATCCACATAGGCTGCAAAGAACATTCATTATGTAAGGTTACTACTTTTCTCTGTTTACCTCTCTATCTTCCAAGTAACATACTGGCAGGCAGAAAAACTTTTCATATGCAAGTCAATTAAAAATTCAGAGGTCATGCCATTTGAGCTGGAAGTTGGTTTTCAGTAAGGTGAATTGAACCACATTTAAAAATTAATAAATAAATAAAAGGCTGTGGGAAAAAAAAAATCCTTTCCTGGGTGATGTACACAAGGATTATTGTGCCAAAACTGTCACTTAAATCCTGTTTCAACTGCTGGCTCATTAAACAGTGAAAGTTCACTGATGGGTCTGCCAGAGAAGGTGAGGCAGGTGAAACACCCCAAGCCCCCAGACAAAATTACCTTCTCTGAACCTGTGAGAAAAACCAATCTTTCCAACCATGAACAAAACCCTTTAAGTGATCTGATGCTTGGTGTGAAAATAGCTAACAACATCTATTAGCATCGATCCCCTCCCTGAGCCCCACCACTACCCCAGGCCCTTACTTCAATAAGGAGAAGAAAACATGAGCAAAAATCCCCCAAACCAAACATCTCAAAAGGCAGGTATTTCCCCATTTCAGACTCCTGAGCTGCCCAGGTGACAGGGAGAATTCAGGAGTAGGAGTGTCAGAGCAGGCACCGCAATCAGAGGTAGCTCATAGCACTCTACCACTGATCCTGGCACAGGGCTCCAAATAAAAATCAAAGCAACACACCTCTTTTCAAAACAAAGAAAGAGTATAAAAAAAAATAAAAAATCTCAGTCTCTGAGAACCTACCTTTGATTCCTGGCTGGTAGTTGATGCTGGAGAGGGGGGCTGCTCCACTTCATTCTGTTTCTCCACACCATCCACGCTGACTTCAGTCGTGCTGCTCGGAGGAATCATTTTACCTCTAAAACACTGCTACTATCAGGAAAAAAGCTACAGACCTTTCTTGCTTTTTTTTCATTTAATGTCCTCTTTCTTCTCTGCTCTTCTAGAGCAAATGAACTCCAACCGCTTGGTTTCACTACATTTGCAAGACTAGAATTCTCTGGATTTTCTTTTTTTTCCCTTCTCCTCCTCCTCCCCCTCTTTCTCCTCTCCCTCCTTCCTCCCTCCCCTCCCCTATGTTCTGATGCAAGGGGTGTAAGTTATCGATGGCTCTGTGGGTCAGTTGTGTGCCTGCTCCTGTGTTTTCCCCGATCCGATCCTCCTCCCCTCCGTGTAAAGCCTGGAGGTGTGGAGCAGAGTCGTGACCGTCAGCCCCGCGATCAGAGGGGAGTGAGCTGAAGCAGAAAGCCTGAGCCAAACACACACACACACACACACACACACACGGGGCACTGGAGGGAGGAGTTGTATTTCTAATGCTGTGAATAGCTTTGGAAGAGCATGTGCGATAGTAGTGAAAGAAAGTAACGCATGCATGCACACACACACACATGCACAGGGAGAGGCAGGCAGTGTATGTGAGGTTTGGAAGCATTTTACCTTTTAACGGGCTAGAGAAGGCAGATTTTGAAGGGCAACTTTATATTCTTATAAGTCTTTTCCTGAAGAAGGACTCTAGAAACAGGGAAGAAAAATGAGTCTTCCCTTACCTTGTCCCAGAGAAGATTATTTAAAATCCTAGCTACCCAGTGTCTCCAAAGCTCCCACCTTGCCTTAAATCCCGAACTTGCTAGCAAGTGACAGGACGGAGTCAGGGGAGAGTCACCTGTGGATCCACGTGTTCTTTGCTCCCCTCCCAGGCAGGGAAGCCCAGCGCTGAGCCATGCACACGCAATCAGGGTCAGCAGGAGCTCCCACTGCTGTGTGCATCCTATACCTGTAGGTTGTCATAGTGATAACACTCCATCGGGCAGCAGCAGGGCAGAGGCAGCCACCGGGAAGGGCCTGCTGGCTTCCCCCAGTGCTGTCATTCCCGAGGATGCAGCACCTGAAGTCACGCTCGGGGCTGTGGTAATACCAGCAGAAGGTCAGCACGACTTTGCTGGCTGGCTCAGATCACTTCATATTGCTCGAGGTTTTGCCTCTGATTTAAATCTGCAAAGGTGCTTGTCAGCTCTCTTCCTTGCTGCATTAAGGTCCGTATTGTGAAAGGTTGAATGGATGCAGTCCCCACCAGATATATGCTTTGCAGGGCGGGAGCCGCTCCATATGGCTGGTGGAGACGCCTCTTTCATTTAAAGAAAACAGAAAAAAACAACCCAAACATGTTTCCAATAAGCAATACTTAGATCCTGGAAAGCGAGAAGAAAAAAATTGTCCCTTAGTTGATCTATACTGGAGGTACAGGTGTTTGGAGGTGATTTGCTTGGGTCTGAGTCAGAGAGGAGCTTCAGTACCTTGTAGTTCTGGGAGAGGGTACCGGCTTCCCTTCCAGCCCCATCCCTTTGAAACACAACTGCTACCTGGAGCTGCCTTGCAGGCCCCCTCCACCTCAGATAATCCATGCATGAAAGTGAAGGCAAGTTTTCAAGATAGTAGGGGTTATAGGGATGAAAGCCAGAGAAGAAATTGTCCTGCAGCCTCCGTATTCTTAATAACTACACAGAAGCCAGAAAAAAAAATAAGCTTTTCTTTGAATCCCTGGTGAATTTTCAGGACTGGCAGTTAGATGGGGAAAAAAAGCTTTATTTCTTTGAAATAGAGCACATAAGATACTGAAATATTTAGCAGACAATAAACATGAAATGCTGCAATGCTATTTGTACAGCTCCTTCAGAGCAAACGTGTGTCTTAGGAGTCTGCCAGTAGAACCTTATTTGGCCTGTAGTCGCTAACACTATTACAGAGATCAAAACAAAAGCACTGGTTGCTGTTGAGGCAGTGTCAGTGACAACTGAGGTTGAAGAAAAGAAATATAGAGCTCAGAGGGGCCGATTTGGCAGGTAAGTAAAAGAATTTATTTCCAAGGGTTAGATTTCCAAAATACAGCAGTATCTTAGACTGTTTTCTTCAGAGCTGGAGGAATTCTCCAGGTGCAAAGCTCATTTCTTCCAGTCAGCAAGTGAGATGTTGGCTTTGCTGTAAAATCAGCCTCTTAGCAATGAGCGGGGACTGGGCGGAGTCACAGTTTGGGAGAATTAGGGCAGCTGTGGGCAACAGAGATCTTGGCAGGGTGACAGTGATTGAATGCTCCAGCTCTGGCAGTGGTATCCTTCCCTGATGGTCCAGCCTAGCACAGCCAAGTCAGGGCCAGGGCATGGCATCTACCCCCCTGCAAGGACTGTTCTGTGTGCCCAGCAGTGTGACAGGTGACAGCCATCAAACTAATTTTTGTTCAGTTCCCCAGCAGTGTTGTGAACCAGTCTTTCCTGTTAAGAGGCTCAAAAACCTCTTCTTCTGGTGCACTTGTAGATCACCTTTGAAATGGACCTGCAGTGGCTGGTTAATAGTTAATGCTCTAAGTGTTGTAAAATCCTGCACAGATTTTGTATGAAAAGCTTGTAACGTCATGACTGTGTAAGTGACTATCATACCACTCTACTCTTTTTTTGTTGTTGTTGTTTTACCAAATTAGTACTGACACCTGCTGCACTCCCTCTCTTCTCCCAATTACTCACTTGTCAATCACGACTGATCTGTCAGTTTCTTGACAATTAGCCTGGGAAAGATGAGTCAAACCTAAAATCTTACCAAAAAAGCAAAATGGAAAAGCTGGATTTCTTACATTTTTATTTCCTTCCACAGGAGCTGGCTATTGAAAATCAAATATTTGGTATAACAAAACAGACTGAATTCGATGAACTTGCATCTCCCTCTCTCTCCCATGCTTCACTCCTGAGAAGCTGGACTTGTGATTACTGCCTATCAGTCTCTAAGTGAGGGTACTTGGCGGAAATGTGAGCACTGCAGCACAGGGCTAAACAAGAGGAAATTGAACAGATTCTCTAGTGAAGAGATGAGTGTAGATTTCTGGAGTGGAGAAAGGCAATTTGGATGAATAAAACATGAGAGCCGATGCTCAGCCCCCGGCTGAAGTTGTTGCATCACATAAAGGCGCTTGAATGTTGCCTGGAGGCACCGTCAAGCATTCCTCTGCGCAGTGGTCCAAGGCTGATCGCACAGGTGCTACGCCTTGTCCGTCCTCCCTCCCTCCCAGTCCCTGGCCCTGCACACAAAGGTGACAGGGTGTGATGCAGAGCAGTCCTCTGCGCCGGGGCTCCAGCAGTTCTTTCTAAGCTCTGGCTGCAGCCAGCATGACAAGAGTGTCCTAGAGGCTCCTGACACCAGGTATATATACACACTGCTGTACTGCCAAGTCCTATGTGCTGTAGAGATCCACGGTGGCAAGATTAAGCTGATGTAGGGGTTTTGGCCCATGCCATGTTCTTTTGCCTTCTTTCTCTGGTACAGACATTCCTCTGAAATATTTGAGCACCTTTCTGCAAAAGAGGTACATGAGTAGAGCTGGATTTTACCAAAGGAAAGATATGAAATCAGTACTTATCAAAAGGTGTTATTCCTGTTTAGACCCCCATGTATTTACTAGAGAAAAAGAAGAAGTAAAAAGGAGGGAGGGAGCTATAGGTGTCATTATTCACTGTCTGGTGCATAAACCATCCCATACTCCTCAGCAAAGAGGGTATAAGGGAGCATATAGAGACAATACTACTGATAAATGGCACTGGTTTAAATCATGACATACCTCTCTCTCGAAATATACAAAGCAGTGAGGAATCAGGGTGGTTGCCACCAAAGCAGAGTCCTCGAAGGAAAGAGGAATTAAGCCTACTGAGAGTCCAACTTCCAAGAGGATGCAGGCTGAGCACCACAGAAAACTATTAGACACAGGAAAAAGGTTGTAGTTCTGGCACCTACAATGAAACTTGATCAGCCTCTCCCCAAGTCCCTCAGCCCAATTTGTGAGTGTTCCAGGTGAGAAATTGTAACTTCATTTCTTAGTCAATTCAATTTTGTCTTTGTGGAAACTGGCAACAGGATACCCTTCTAGTGCCATTTGTGATGGGCATTTTACTTTTGGCATGGTGCATTTGGCCAGATGTATTGGTGGAAGTCTTCCCTAGGCTCTCCTCTCCAGTATCTGCTGTCACTCCCAGCTGGCTACTAGACTGCAAAGACCAGACCATTGCTCTGGTGGAGTATCTGCCTGTGGTTCCAAGTAACAGACTTGTGGGCACTTCTCGCCAGCAAATATTGTACCCACAGAGAAAACAATATTAAAATTGTGTGAGGTGGCTGGGGCTTTTTGTTTATAGTCACGCCCCCCTTGCTTGCTTTCAGTACAATCTTGGCAGTTCATCGAGCAGCTAACATAGTAACAACCCCCTCGGATTCTGCTTATCAAAATGCCACCTAAGGGCTACAATCACCAGCTCGTCAAGCTACGAGCACAAGCTGGTCAATGCTCTGAAAGCATTCCCAGTACTAATGTGAAAGCATTCCCAGTACTAATGGGATACTGGTGGTTTGCATTTTGACTAAAATTATCTCAAAGTACTTTTTAAAGTATTAAGCCTTGCACTGCTCCAGGGAGTGATTATACTGTAGCAAACAGTAACGGTGGAGGAAGCCAAACCAACAGATTTGTGCTTGTACTTAAGCAGGGTGAAAATTGGAACCTCTGCCTAAGTATTAATTTCAAAACCCTCTTTCTCTCCATCTACAGCAATGCTACAGGGAGTGATGCAGAGATCACACTGCATCTTGGGCAACTTGAATCTGTCTTTCAGAGACATCACTATGAGATTGAAACACTGCTACCCAGATATCTAGACCAGGAGAAAGAAGAATGCTGCCTCCTATTGTGACAGCAAGAATGTTTGAGAAGGGGAAAGAGGATGTAACTACAAAAGATGGAATTTAGCCAAGATACAGCATGTAATATGTTCAGTCTTACAAAAAGCATTGCAATACCTTTAAATAACCAGCGACAG